TAGACCTTCTGGACCTCAAACAAAGCCTGACCGTTATCTCTTCTAGGCTGCCTATCCTAGAACAGAGAAGTATGCCTCAGGGGGAACCACATTCCTCTGCAGTATGGAAGTTTTGAAATGGGCAGTTTTGAAATTAATTTCTGCCCAAGCCCCTGGCACCAAACAGTTGTGACCTATTCCAGACATACATCCCATGTCCCCCAAACCCCCCCCCCAGCATAGGAAAAGCAGTATATAAACCTCCAGACAGAAGGCCCAAATAGGCTTCCCAGTGGGTTCTTCCCTTTGGCTTGCTGAAGACTAATTCCCCCCCCCCTTATCTATCTATCTATCTATCCATCTATTCTGTTGCTTACTCAGTGGTCCATGGATTCCTTCTTTGAATCTCTAGGACCAAGGACTGGCTATCAACACTTTTCACAGAGTAGAGTCTGAAGAAGGTGACCCCCTTCAGCATATTACACTGATTCAATGTCCCAGTTTGTATTCTCTAAGAAGCAGATTTTGAAATGGCTTTTTGTGGGAAAGATGTTTATTAAGGCGTGCCCTTAGGTCCAGCACCATGTGGAAGGGAAGAGGACAAAAGTAGGAATACACAGTGAGAGAAGGTGAGCTTAATGGAGCTCCAGGAACCCCTGGAGCTCGAACACCCCTTGAGAATTGGTCTATTTCAGGCTAAGATGGCCAAACCTTCACACTCCACATCGTTCGGTCCTTGATGTGGGCTCTGGGAAGAGCATCACTTTGGGTGAAAGAGTTCTCTGCAGCTGACACAATTTCCAAACTCACTACCAGCTGAAAGCTGTTTGTGAGTGGGCCACATTCTCAGCGACTAGGATCACAAGTCCTTCGTTTAAGGACTATCTGGGTGGTCCATCAACATGTCCACCTCCCATGGATATTTCTAATGAAGAAGCATCTTTGAAAACATCCCCTCTAATCTCATTTCATAGATCCTGCAGCAAAAGACAGGAAGTAACATAAGGTCACTTTTTTTTCTTTTTCTTTTTTCAAGAGAAGGATGTTGAAGAAATAAGGCCACATATTAATGAACGCCTTCCCAAATATTTCTTCTCACAATAAATGCAGTGACCTTCACAAAGAGCAAATTTGATCAAGTCACTCCCCAACTTAAAACGTTTCAGGAACTTCCCATTACTCTGAAGACAGAAGTCAAGTCCTTTACATGGACCTCAAAGTTTTACACAGCCTGTCCCCTGCTGTTCTCTCCAGCATCTCGTCTTCCATTTTGCCTACCAGTCACAATGGCCTGCCTTCAATATTTTAAGGCACCTTGCTTCCTCTCATCATAGCAGTGGCTTCCTCTGGTTGAAAGACCCCTCCCCAACGTGACAATACCGTGATTTTATATTGCAGTTAGCACAATATCCCTTTTCATCACTGTACTTAAATGTATATACCAGACTTTAAGTTTGGAATACTGGTTAGTGATCAACCATTCATTGCCCCATTGCACTTTGGCAGCAGAATTTGTACCATGGTGATGAATAGTGCTATTAAAAATACTGACTTTTCTTCTGCACAGCTACCAAAATCATCAACAGAGCAAATGGACAACCTACAGAATGGGAGAAAATTTGCAAGCTATACATCCAATAAAGGACTAATAACCTGAATTGATAAGGAACTCAAACAAATCAATGAGAAGAAAAACAACCCCATGAAAAAGTGGGCAAAAGACATGAACAGAAGCTTTTCAAAAGAAGATAGATAAATGGCCAATAAACATAAGAAAAAATGCTCAAGGTTACTAATCATCAGGGAAATGCAAATTAAACTTACAATTAGCTATCACCTTAACCCTGTTAGATAGATGCTGGAGTGGATGCAGAGAAAAAGGAACACTACCCACTGTTGGTGGCATTGCAAATTAGTGCAACCCCTATTGTTTGATCCAGCAGTCTCACTATTGGGTAGTTATCTAAAAGAAAAGAGGTCATTTTGACAGAATGGCACCTGAACTTGAATGTTCATTGCAGCAAAATTCACCATTGCAAAGATACGGAATCAACCCAAGCACCCATCAATTCTTGAGCAGATTAACAAATTACACATATACACATATATGTGTATGTATACCATGGGGTACTACTCAGCCATAAAAAGTGGAGGAATTAATGCCTTTTGCAACAATCTGGATAGAATCAGACCATTATCTCTTGCCTAGGTTGACAAAAATCTACCTGATGGGTCCAATGAACACTATTTGGGGTGATAGGCACACATGTAACCCTGCTCAAGCATTATAAAAGGAATCCATATAGCCAAAAACATTTGTATCCCCATATTTTGAAATTAAAAAAAAAACATACTGACTTTTATCTGATGGGGCATTAACTTGATGCTCCAATTGATATCTTCCTCTGGAAGAAAAGGGCTGATGATTGGAAATACTTAGGTCTGTAAATATATGTCTCTTGATGAAGTATTAAGATAGAAAAAGGAACTGCAGAGAAAGTGCACGGCAGAGCACATTGTGTTGGGCAAGTCCCCACCTCCACTTTACTTCAGTGGCATTTGTATAAATTTGGGGTCTGCTCAGTGAATGCCCTGCATGGTGGATAAACTGTGTTTGTATTGAAGAAACCCTTCAGGAAGGGAGTGTTGCGGGGGCAGGTGCCTAAAACAAAATTAGGAGAAGTAAAAAGCTAAAGCCATGGCCTATACAAGGATAAGATTAAGCTGTTTGCAGCTACACTGACTTAGCCTCTGGCATAGCTGTCCATTTGGGAATCTAGGCCAAAGGCTTTGAAAAGAGTTCCCCTTTAGTACTCTCCTCTCCTCCACATTTCCGGGAGGCCCACTCAGATCTTTGAGAGCGTGTCTTTCTTTCCCTCCTTCTGCCTGTGCCTACTGTTTGAAGAGTCAACACCCAGGGCAGCCTGATTCCCAGAGTCTTATCTGTTGGTCTTTACCAAAAGTCACAAGGTGGGATTTTCCAGCCACCCACCAGAGCAACTGAGAAGGGCTTCTCTGATACTGCCAAGCTACCACTTCTCCCAGAATACCTCATTTCTCACTTCCTTTACCTCTCCTATACACATTTGCTTTTCGAAGAAGGTCCCTAAGTCTTCCTGGAAATCCAACTTCTGTCCTAGTAGTTAATGTTGATGCACAGGCCAAGGAGCAAAGACTTGCAAGTTTGGGCAGGTGCTCCACTCCTGGGCTCAGACAAAAGCGCATGGTTTCCAGAATCATTTTTCTCACATCCAGCCTTTGTTATCTACTGTTAAAAATTTAACAACTTTTAAGCACTCATTTTAAAGATTTTTCAAAAATTGAAAGACAATGTACTTTTTTTTTTTTTACAATAGAGATTTGGGGAATATATAATCCCATCTCTAATATAGTATTTTTTTTAATTTTTAGGATTAACATCCACATGTATACATAATTTACATAATTAATGAATACACAGTATTTTGGACTATTCTATTATTTCTTAACAATACATTTCAACATTTCCATGTTTCTATAGTCTATTCTTTTTTTGTCATTTAGAATTTTTATTTTATGCTTATTGAAAAATACCTTTCAGGCTGAGATTTTTTGTCATAAATCCCTCTTGCACATATGTAAAATGGAAAACATTGGTAAAATAAATTGGTTAGGGCGTTTCTAAGGTGCCGACAATGATGTATAATTGCCACCTGGCTGACAGCAATTTAAAACAATCCTGATTTCAGAGATGTCAAAATAAAAATAAAATAATAAACTCCCCTGAACATACCTTCTTACTTAAGAAATAGAATAATTCCTACTCTGTTGACACTCGCTGTGTGTGCCTCCCGGGTCAGATAGCCCTCCTTTCACACTCAACATAGCCTCTATCTTGAATTTTGTGTTTATCATTCCTTTGGTCTTTTTCTACACTTTTGTTTTTTTCCTATACTTTTAATAAATATGTACCCCAATCATTGTTTGACCTCATTTTTTGAGCTGTTCTACAAATGGACTATATTACACATATTTTTCTGATTTGTCTTTGTTATCCAACATTATGTGAGATTCATTCATGTTCACATGTATAGCTGCTATTCATTTTCACTGTTGTATATTATGTATTGTACATATATACTATGGTTTATCAATTCTCCTGTCTGATGCCTATTTGGGCTGGTTCCGGGGTTTTGGTATTACAAATTGTTTTACTATAAACTTTCTCCTAGCTCTCTCCTGACAAGCATACTATATGTGATAGTTTCTACAGTGTATATGCCTAGGAGGAAGGAAGACTGGTAAGATTAGATCAAGAGTCAGCAAGCTTTTTCTGTAAAGGGCCAAATAATATCTTAAAATCCTACAGGCCACAGTCTCCATGGCAACTACTCAAATCTGTTGTAGAGTGAAAGCAGCCATAGGCATTATGCAAATGAATGGCCACTGTTATATTCCAATAAAACTTTATTTACAAATCCAGGAAGCTGGTAAGATTTGGTCCTCAGAACATGGTCTGCCAATTCCTGATCTAAATAAATGGACTTCCTATTCTAATTGCCTATAAATGCTGCTGTACGCTTTCCTTCCTCAACCACCTTCCCCTGAGGGGAGATGAATCTTATCTTTGCTTAGTCTATGAACTGGACTGAATGTCCATGTCCAGAGACCTTCAGAAAAGGAAAATGGGCATGGGGATGTGGTGGTAGTGATACATCCCAGCTCGTAGTTGGTGACTTTCACAGTCTTGGGGAGCCAAAGGCAGGAGGTTGAGGCAAGGCCAAGTATTCAGCTTGGCTTTGCTGGGCCTGGGTGGGCAGTGGCTGGGATCTTAGCCTGCAGCACAGACACCATCACAGCAGCCACTGTGAGGTCACTGCCAGGCTATGGGACAGGAAAATTCAAACAGGAGATATCATTTCTTTTGGAGTTGTATGGTTTCCTTTATTATTAAACTGCAGTAAAGAAAGCTGGAATGGGCTCTCTGGAGACACTTCCCTGAGCCCTGGGTCTCCATTGCAGCTTCCTGCCCTGGCTCCTGTTTAAACGGATTTGGTTTCAAAGATTATCATCTCTGTCGTCTCAGACGTCATGGTGCCACTGATCCTCCCCAGCTCCTCGCCCTCCTGGGCTTTCTCCACCTTGGCCTCTATGTTATGCTTCTCTACTGTCTTAGTCATGATATCTACCTCTCTATCTGCCGATGTGACTGTAACTTTTGAACCAGAAGGGGCTCTGAGGCCTCTCAAGAAAGAGCTGATTTTACTGGCTTTCTTACTCAAAGTACCTGAGCTACTGGCAGATCGGCTCTTCCCCAGTTTGTGAGATGACCTTGACTCCTTTCTAGTGGTGGTGTGGCTGGAGCTTTTGCGAGTGGAGCTGTGTCTCTTGTCCCTTGCACTGCTCTTCCCTTTGTCTTTTTTATCATCTCTCACGTTCTTGTGACCAGATAAGGATCGGTGGGAGGATGTTTTACGGCTCTTGTCTCCCCCTTTCCGGCTCTTGTCTCCCCCTTTCCGGTGGTGATGGGAACTTTTCCTACTAGGATGTCTGTCCTTTTTTTCTCTTCTTTCCCTTTTTTCCTTCTGGGCTTCAGCACGGGGCTGGGAAACCTTCTGGCTTCCATCCCGCTCACTCATGTAACCCTCACTCTGCAAGGTTGATACGAGGGGTCCCACCGCCTCAGACGTGCCAGTCATCATGGTGCCTGCAAACACCATACTCGAACTACTACTCTCTTGGGAGATATTGGAAGTCCCTGTAGTGAAGCTGGATGTACCTGCTGAGGAGGTGCTCATAGCACCCACCAAGGCCAAGTTAATGCCATCTGAGGATATACTGGCAGCGCCTGCTATGGTCTTGCCGGATTCACTTTCTCCTGGATTCTTGGTGGCTGTTCCCGCCACGGCTGCAGTCACTTGGCCTGGGCCTGTGGGCTTGATTGTTGCTACGCTCAGAGTGCCTGTTGCAGGGCTCGTTACCCCTGCTACTGTAGTGCCACTTGCTATCCCTGCTGCTCCTGCTGCAGTCCCTGTAGTGCTCATGGCTGAGGGAACTGCACTAGCCTTGGTGCTGGTGGCTGAGGACACTGCACTAGCCTTGGGGCTCGAGGCTAAGGGAATTGCCCTAGCCTTGGGGCTTGAGGCTGAGGCAACTGCACTAGCCTTGTGGCGGGGGGAATGTCGAATGCCCTCTCCCCCAGCATAAGCAGAAGAGGAGGCAGCAGACACCCCGAAAGCCTTGCGATGTCCAACTTCATTCCGATCCCCTTGTCCACGGATTTCTGAAGCCTGCACCAAGGGGAGGAGAAACAGGTGAGATAGACATGATAGAAAGGGAGGCCGGAAGTTTCTGCACCTCTTTTGTTCTAGACCTGAGCAATTCAAGGGCTTATAGTTAGAAGAACCTTTGAAATCATCATGTCTCAGTCTTGCTCCCATTTGTTGCAAGATTCCATCTATAGCACCCCTTGTCCAATGGGGTTGAACAATTCCAGTACCAGAGAAAGGACTCATCTTTGTACATTGTATTTTATACGTTTGTGCTCTGCAGGGCAGATTTCTCGAAGCGTGATTGCCAGGTCAAAGGATACACACATTTTACATTCTGGCAACTACTAAAATTGTGCATATGTGTATACACACACAGAGGTTGTGCTCTTTTACCCCCAGACCAGTGCATGGAAGTCAGGGGGAGATAGATCATGACTCAGAGGAAGGAAGGACTTCCTCATTGGTAAGAGTGTTCCGCAACAAGCTGGACTACCTGGTTTGGGGCGGTGAGTGTTCAAGAAGAAAATGGACAATCAGGATGCTGTAGAAGGGGTTATAACCCAGGGGCGAGACAGGAGTAGCTGACACCTATTGTCTAAATTCAGCCTTCTGGGACACTGGAGAAACACTTGAATCTCCTAGTATGTTAAGTCCCCCAGTGGTAACTTATTTGGTCCAGAGCCCTTGCCAGTGGAATGCCTTTTCCAGGGGAGCTTCAGAGGGCACTATAGGCTCTGTAAGGACGGCTTCAAGCTGCTCTCCCAAGAACCCTGCCCCATTTCCTTGTGTCTCTGTGGGTGCTTACCATGGAAGTTCTGTTGTCCTCTACCATGTCCGCAGTTTGCATCACAGGAGTGGTGGTGGAGCTTTCTGCTGGTGGCCTCAGGAGATAGACAAGTTTTTCCCAATAGCAAAAGAGGTCTTCTCGGGCATCTGAGGAGGGACACAGCTGCAGATAGAAAGTACGGCCAGTGGCGAGCTTCAGCCGAAGCTGCTGTTTCTCACGGTCGTGAATGGAGATCTTCACAAACTTCAAGGGAAGTAGCCTGGTGAGCTCTAGAATCTTTATGGGCTTGCGACCTTTCCCCTTGATGTGCCTCCCTAGTCTGGCATGCTCTTCGCAGACCTTAGCTGGTCGGGCCAGCAGCATGACGTCAGGTAGTGGGAGGACGGGACTGGTGGAGGCAATGCCCACAGTCACCATTCGGACACGGTTGTGCACATCAATCACCTCTCCTTTTTTGCTGATCTGGATAAAGTCACTCTCAAACATTGGTGCATACTTGAAAATGTCATACTCTCCTCCCTTGTACAGCTGTCGTTGCAGGTCCCCCATGGAGGTGTTGAACACACCCATTGAACGATAGCTGTGGGCTGTGTAATAAGGTAACAAACATTCACTGCTCATGGTTCTCTTCACTTAAGACAGCTCCGCCAGCCACGAGTTGAGTCCCTGAGAAAGAGAGGGAGTGAAGGCAATTACCCATCTCCCTGCAGGGCTTCTGCCTAAATGTCCTTACACCACCCCATTTATCCTCCTCTGTCCTTTGTGACCTGTCGCCCTCACACACCCCTCTGTCCTAGCCTCCAAGCAGCCACCCCTTGCAGCAGCCTCCCCCCTTAAATCACCATCTCCATGGAGGACACACTGACCCTGCCAGGGTGTAGGTGTGGGTAGGTTGGATATTCTTTTTAATCAAAATGTTCCGGCTCGGTGCCCATAGTTCAGTGGTTAGGGTCCTGGCCGCATACACTGAGGCAGGCAGGTTCAAACCTGGCTCAGGCCTGCTAAACAACAATGACAACTACAAGAAAAATATCCAGGCACTGTGGTAGGCGCCTGTAGTCCCAGCTACTTGGGAGGCTGAGGCAAGAGAACTGCTTGAGCCCAGGGGTTAGAGGTTGCTGTGAGCTGTGATGCCATAGTACTCTACTGAGGACAACATAGTGAGACTGTCTTAAATAAAAATGAAAATAAAAATAAATAAATAAATATTCAGATGCATAATTTATGAAGCCATTCTGCTTTTGTAAATATCTGGGTTGTTTCCAGTTTTGTTGTTACAAAGACCCCTGCAAGGATCATTTTGCAGATATATTTTTGCTTCTGCTGAGTTACTTCCTAGGGACAAAATCGTGGCTGTAGATGGTGTGTTTGCTAAGGGTAGAGATCCTGTCTGGATTGTTGTGCTCTGCATCCCAGACATAGGTAGCGTGGTGCTATTGCATGGGGCTTCTGCCGGCCGTCAGAGTCAGTGGTTTCCAGGATATGGAAGGTTATCTCACCTGCTTTCTCATTTAAAGCACATTAATTTTATATCATTTTATGGTAAGGAAACAGAGGCTCAGGATCATCTTGTTTGGAATCAGAGTGCAAAGCTGGAATCTGACCCAGTTCTTGTAACCAAGGTTAGAACTGGTTCTCCATCCCAAGCTTCATGGCTCACTGTTACACTCGCGTTCATCTTGTTCTTGGTGTCATCAGCAGCTAGCAGCATGTGTAAGGTCTTACTTGGAACCCGGAATCCACAGAGGTCTTGAATCACCGTAGGATTTCCCACACTGCTGTTTGTTGCTTCACGTTTGATGACTACTTGATACACCACTGACATTTTGTTTCTTTGAAAAGCTCTTCAGAGAAATTGTGGCAAAGATATCTTTCTGGAGATTTTCTTTTTTTGTTTTTACTTGCACGAGGCGATGAATCCAAATTCCCCCTCCTCCAGTTAGAAAACTACTTCCAAAATAAACGTACACTCTGCCCTACCCCCAGACTCAAGGACTACTATGTGGAGGTCTTGAAATAAACTTCAACCGTGAGATGTTCCTTTTTATACCCCTCGTGCTCACAGCAGTGGCTGGCATATTGCAGCTTTTCCGTGAACGTGAACTTGCTTGTGCCCACTGAGATTCATTCTTCCATTTGTTTATTCGACAAAATTTAATGAGTAAGTATTTTGTTTGGGACCATCTACAAAAGAAAAAAATGCAAAGATCAGATTCCCTACCTTGGAAGAGCTTTTTTTTCTAAAAATGTTGAATGACTTCTCTTTAAGAAAGAACAAAATGACTTATATTCTATTATAAGGGAATAATCACTAACACTCAACACTATTAGATATAAAAATCAGAAGTTTTACATATCTATATAAATATACCATAGAACTATATATTCTCAGGCAGTGCCTGTGGCTCAGAGAGTAGGGCGCCAGCCCCATATACCAAGGGTGGCGGGTTCAAACCCAACCCCAGCCAAACTGCAATTAAGAAAAAGAAAAATAGCCGGGCATTGTGGTGGGCACCTATGGTCCCAGCTAGTCGGGAGGCTGAGGCAAGAGAATCGCCTAAGCCTGGGAGTTGGAGATTGCTGTGAGCTGTGTGATGCCACAGCACTCTACCGAGAATGATAAAGTGAGACTCTATCTCTACAAAAAAAAAAAAAGAACGATATATCCTCTCATAAGGCC